GCATTCACGCGAAGATGACAACAATACAGCAGTAGTGTAATTTCGATTCGCTCCAGCGATTTCGCCTCAACGTAAAACGAGATAGAATGCGAACGAGGACGTTATTAAATTGGGTGGCCTGTGCAATCAGCACCGGAGGCGTTGGCGCTCGTCAATCACTTTGGGTGGAGTAGATGAGCGAACGAAGCCCAATGATGAACGTACAGATGTCATTTTGCAGTTAAAATTATTCACTAATGACAGATTTACCTCTCGCGATGAGATAACGACCACCGGCCGTCGTCAAAGAGTCAATAGGGAGTTACTCAACGTGTTTTATTTATCAATTGCAGGATTATGGAGCGTGACATAACATGGGAACACCCGCTGTACCGAATATCGTGGGTTTATGGGTTTCTGGATGGAATACATCTGTTTAATCCCGTTTGCGTTGAGTAATTCAGACAAATGTGTTATGATTATCGCTGGGATCATGCGGCAGATGGGAGGAGTACTTGGGTAATGATTTTAGCGGGACGTGTATGAAAAAATTTTGAAGAAAAAACTGCGAATTCGGTAGAGAAGTCTGTCGAATTTCTATGGAGTATTCTATTAGTTTTTGGTCGATTCTCTTGGAAAAATCCGCAGCTTATCTGTATCAAAGTTTTCCGTCAATTGTTCGCTAGGTATTGTTGAGCCCTATCAATCGCCGTTAATTAAATTTTAATTCATCGATTGGTTTTTTAATTTTTTAATTTTTTTGAAAATCTGTTGTCCCGCGATAACTAAAAAAATTTTCTGAATTGATCGAATGATGGTTTAAAAAATTTGTTTGGGTGTCCTTTTGACCGAGAAATCTTATTCAATTTAATAATGAAATAATTTAATAATGAATAATTTAATAATGAAGTAAACAATGAATTATACATGATAGAAGGAAATGAAGTGCAAAATAACTATACTATATGCAGTACAAGAGCAATTTCCCGTTTGTATTCAATTTTATCTGTAAAATGGTGTAAGAAAAGCGAAGAGGTGCATTATGAGTAATTTGATTAAAAATTATGTAACAAAAGCTTCGAAATGTATCACAAGCTATGAAAACACAAAAAAAGAAATGTTTTTCATTCTATTTCAGAAATATCTCCGAATCCCCAAAAAAGCCCCTCACAATTTCAATTCTATTAAAAGTATCTGGAGACACACGCCTTCCCATACTATTCATTACAAGAAAAAACAAATAGCGAGTACTCCCCATTTTCATAGGAGTGTCGACACGCAATGTGTGCTCCAGTGTCACACAGCTACGTACACACAAAGCCTCAAGATCCCCCTCGACCCAACAAACGCCAACTATTTTAACAATTCTAAAGTGTCTTCGAGGGGGCTTCAAAGACATTTCCAACACAGTTGGCTCCACTTTAGTCATGCACGTGGACTTCTGAAAAAGTTGACACGATAAAATCACCCAAACATCTTTCATCCTATATGGAAGGGGATTTATTCTATAAATACGGTTCAAAACATAGAAAATTATAATTAATTAGTGCAGAATATTTGCTTATCCACATGTATTTTATCATCTCGATTTTTTTCACATCACTTATGACAAAATTTCATAGAAAAACCTGGAAAATTCTATTCAGCTTCAGCTTATCTGCGAGTTTTTGTAATGAAAATGTTCAATAGAAAATATTCGATGGAAATAGTCAATAGAATTCAATTTTTCTATACAATTCATTTATTTATTATTTATTTTACGATTATTATTTTGTTTTTTCTATAGAAATTCCAACGCTCGATTTTTTATATTTTTCTTTCTTTAATTTTTTTAAGAAGAAAAGAAAGATAAAGCGGAAAAAACTCGCAAGATTCACGTCCAAGAATTCCTGTAGCAAATTTTATTCATTAAAACTGCTGAATATTTCAATAGAATAGGCAAAAAACTAATAGAATTTTCAATAGAAGTTCAACAGAAATTCAATAGAATTTCATATTGAATTCTTTAAATTTTTCTATTAAATTTTTTCATGTGTGGAAACATATTATAAATTCCTTTTCATGCATTACATGAAAAATACATGAAATCTATCGAATCTGTGGGAATCCCTTACGCAACATTCGCCCGTGAAGTATGCCCTAGACCAATGCCACGTGCTCGTATTACAAAAGACTTTTTCTGTAATATCATGTACTCGAATATATTATTTATCACCTGCGACCGATTGAATTACCCAATGTTCTCTTGTTAGATGACAGAATAATTCAGCTTCCTTGCAAAGTCTAACGTTACAATTAGCATCGATATCCTTTCACCGTAACAATTATTTTCCCTAACTAGGAAAGGGGGCGTTATTATTTTTGACCGTTATGTATTCAGTTATTTATTGAAAGAGAAATGATCTTTAAAAATTTTCCTGATGAAAAATTCACGGTGTAAGGTAAATAGGTGCATCTAACAGTGAAATCGGTCCCATTTTTCAAGTGTGAAAATGCAATCTTTTGCGAAGAATTGTCCACCAATTTTCATATGAATCCTCTATTATGAAATAAGTGAAACATTTTCGATCTGCAATTTCTTTCGTCAAGCCTTGTTGACTTTCAAGATCAATTTTCGCGTTATAAAATTTATGAAGTTAAATGAATATAATTGATAAATTATTCTTCAACTTTTATATGGATATATGTACCTCTCTACATTATAAAAATCGAAATCGACTTCTGGTGATGAAAATTTGGTACTTGAAATTAAGACTCCGAAATTAGGGGTCACAAGGGTCAGAATAAGGGTCATGAGGGTTAGAATAAGGGCCAAAAAGGTAAAAATAAAGGTCGTAAGGGTCAAAATAAGGCTCATGAGGGACAGAACAATGGTCACGAGGTCACAATAAGGCTCATATTAAGGGTCAAATGGTTGAGCATAAGGGCTACAAGATTAAGGGTCACAAAAGCCAGATTAAGGGTCCAAATAAAGGTAGCAAGGGTCTAAATAAAGGTCACAAGGTTTAAATTAAAGGTCACAAGGGTCCAAATAGGGGTTATGAGGGTCAAAAACCTAGGATCGGAAACTAATGGTCACCAGGGTTGAAATACAAGTCACGAGGGTTATAATGCGGGTCAGATTAAGGATCCAAATAAGGGTCGCAAGGGCCAGATTAAGGATCACAAAGGTCAGATTAAGGGTGCAAATAAAGGTCTCGAGGGCAAAAAATAAGGGTTTCTACATATCTCTCTATATTATAAAAATCCAAATCGACTTCTGTAGATGAAAATTTAGTACTCGAAATTAAGATTCCAAAATTAAGCGTCAGAATGTTCGTCACGAGGGTCAGATTAAGGATCCCAAGGGTCAGAATAAGGATCATCGAGGTCATATGGGGGTTGACGAGCGGAGCGAGCAGGGGGCGTAGCCCCCTAGTAATAAAAAAAACAAAAAGAATAAATAAGTATTTTTTATTCATAAACTAAGAGGAACTTGAAACATTTCCAAGTCTAGCATATGCTTGCCGAAAGAAATTGCTGACCGAAAATGCTTCACCTATTTTTTAATCTATGTAATATAATGTAATATAGTAATAACATGAATAAATATTCATCTTTGTTGTTCCCATCGTGTTGAACCGGGTAATGACGTGCGCCATGAATCCAACGGCCATGGATATTTATCGGGTGTCCTTACGCAAGGCAGAATCATCGTTTATCCCACTTGTACGTACGAGTCATTCAGCCCCAGCGTCACTCTAACAATTCCATTTCCGGTTGCGTATACACACTTTCAGAGATATTTAGAGAATGAGTAAAGCGAGAGCGAGTCATGGATAGGTTCTTATCGATTAGTGCTGGAACGGGCGGCTTAATTGTGGGTGGTAAATGCGGATTTATTTGAGACTAGAGTTCGATGATCCGAAGGATCAAATACATCTCTGTCTCTGGATGCAGTCGGCGGAAAATTCCTGGGGAATTCTAATGAATCTTCGACGATTCCATGAATAAGTTTCTCAATTAAAAAATATAACTATTCAGTAGAAGAAATTGAGAGGATGTAATTAATAGTTTTTTGAGAAGATTGATGAGGGATTTTTTGAGTCTTCGCCGATTCTATTGATAAGTTTTTCAATTTTTTAAAAATAGAACTATTCAATAGAAAAAATGTGGGGGGAAAAAATTGATGGATTTTCATGTTTTTTATGGAAATATCTCAGCATTAATTTTGTCCCTGATTTGTTTACTACTTTTTTCCTTCGCTCACTAGAAAATGAACGTGAAAAAACTTGAGAAGATGCGAAGAATTTTTATGGAAGCGGTTCCAACGGAACGAGTCGTTTCGAAAGATGAAAATTTATTTATTTTTCTGTAGAATTTTTTCTATTGCATCCGATGATCGGAAGGATCAATAAAGGACCATAAAAGTGATGCGTTTCTACCTTTGTGGTATTTACAAATGCATTTTTACAGCGTAATAAAATACCCTATTGGAATTCTGTCGAAGCTTCCACTGGGTTATGAAATTTTTTTCTCGTTAGAAAAATCAAGTAAAGAAATCGTAAAATTTCAACGCCCTTCGCAGAGCCTCAGTTTATCTCTTCCATGAACTATTATTTATTGAAACATTGTTTTTCATTTCTTTTTAATTAAAAAAATTTTTTTTTGCGAGTAATATTTTGTAGAAATTAGAATCCTATCCTATCTATAAAAAAGTAAAGTTTCGTGAAGTTGTTTTGTATCGAAATATATCGAGACTTCCACACCGCTAATCCTCAATTCTGATTAGTCAATAGTCGCGTGAATTTAGTCGCTAAAACCCCGCGGTATTTTCAAATTCTTCAAATTCACAAATTATTCTCTGCGTCATAATTATCAATTTTCTCAGGTTTGTCATGCGCAAAATTAATAAATTATTCCTTTTTGGACTTTTGACTTGGTCCTAAATTCTATAAAACCAATAAAATTCCCAACTTTGTTAGAAAATTCTATGAAAATATCTGTTTTTATCTTTTTCATTTGAACAAAAAATTTACAAAATTGTTCAATTTTCTAAAGAATTTGCAGATTGACCAAATAATTCAAGAAAATTGTTCACTATTATAGAAAATTGATTCGTAAAAACTTCCCTTATTGCCGAACAATTAAGGGTATTGATCGGATCCCTCTAAAAAGTGAAAGGGAATGGGTCAAAGATTAAAAATTATTCATTAACTCTTCACTCATCATTAATCTTCATCATTCATCAATTTTTTAATCCATCATTCATTCTGATAACGCATTCACGACCGAAATAAATTTAATTCATTCGAAATTCGAATGAAGAACACGAAGTTTCTCACAACTAAATGAGATGAAAGATCAGAGCGCGCGTACTGATGCGAAAATACTCAGCGAAAACTTGGGAAAAACGTTCTGATGATAATGCCTGTCCTCGACGACTCAACTCCCAAGAATGTCCAAGTGGATTGTTCCCGTGGATTGACGGCCCCTAGACCTTCTTCAAGGGCTCCTCCTCGCTCAGTGTGGAAAGACCGTGCTTCAAGCGGCTCGCTCTACGATCCTCCATGTCGTGGGCCAACTGCTCGAGCAACTCCTTGAACACATAGTTGTCCAGGTTCTTGGCTATATAGTAGAGGAAGAGCCAGTCGCCGAAGTGGTACTCGTGAGTCACTCGAAGGACATTCCAGGGATTGTATTTACCCGGGCAGGCCAGCGAAAATACCCACCGGTTGAACCGGATACTCCTGTGTAAATATTTGTGGATCAGAAATGGAAACTACTTGAACAAAATTCCAGTGTTTGTTTATCAATAAAATAAATAATGAAAATGTCAATTTTTCCTGATTAAATAAATTCTTAGTCTCAATTTTTAATCCCCTTTTCTGCATTTTACCTTAATTAATAAATAATGATAATTATTTAAACTATCGGAAATATTATTTTCAATAATTCTATTTCGATTGATTAAAAACAATTCAACAAGTGACGTTCCAACAGCAATTGTTTTTAATGTCTACAAAACAAAAAATACTTCTGTTTATAAACAGCTGTTGTAATCTTCACAGAAGAACCGCAAACGATTCCTAATCCTTCGAGAGCCTCATCTCCCGGCGAACCCACCGCAAGTAGAGGCCACGCACCCAATAAACTAGTTTTTTCCAACAATCAACGTTTTACGACAAACAATAACTCCCGAGACCTCGCAGTAGATACGATAATCTAGACCACACGCAGAAAAAATACCAGAAAAACATCCCGCGAAGAGTAGAAAAATTGATATTCTCTCGGGATTTCCCCCCCTGAATTGATTCAATTTTTCCGAAATTTCCCAAGTTTTTACATTTGCGTTAAATGTAAAATTTCACTTTACGCACAAGTGATGAAATATACAATTTCTACTGGACCGACAGAAATAAATTCTCATAATATTTCATCGATCCACCTCACCTGGCATGTAAAACCATCGTGAGAATTCTCCAAACGAGCCCCAGCCCCGTGACAACCGCCAGAATGATAAACCAAAACCACAAAAACGTGTAAATCTTCTCGTTGACAATGTTCAACGCCATAACGCAGAGTGCATCGTGTCTCTGAATGCCACCCGAGGGCCCATACTTGTGGAATGTGCACTTGGTGACCTTGGGGAATACAATGTCCAGGGGTGTCATCTTTTTATTCCAATCGGTCTCGTCCGCCTGGGTGACGATGTTCCCCAGGTCTAGGAAGGCACCACCCAGGAACCAGTTCGTCAAGTATATCTGGGTCAGGACATTCATGAAGTTCAGGACCTCGCACGCCCCGAGGTAGTACGCCCAGGGTCTGTTTGCGTGCAGACGATTCAGAAAGGCGATTCGAATTATCTGGATTTTCTCCTCTCGATCGGACCTCGAGGGAATCGATTTGCCGTCGTTCAGGTTGAGCTGCTCGTCACGGAGGCAGAGGGATGCCATTTGCAGACCCGAGACGAGTATCTTCAGGCGACCACCTGTTGACGAATGTCGATTTCATGGGCTTGGGAGGATTTTCGGGGGAAATGCGAATGAAAAATATTGATAGAAGCTTTTTGAAGAGAATTATATGAGAATTCAATTCTTTATCATTCGTCGTTTTACATTATTCAGCGAAAAATATTTTAAAAAATTTAGTCAATACTTTTTTTTATTCTTTTGTCGGATGTATTCTCTTGGGGATTTTTTTCCGTAGAAATTATGCCAGAATTTTTTTTTCTGCTGTTATTTTTTGTTTAATCAAATAATAAAATTTAGAAAAGAGGGAAATTTATGAGATGAAGTTATAAACAAAAAATTCTACAGAATAAGTATTTTAGAAATATAAACATCAATTGAATTTTTTTTACTGAAATATCTATTGAGAAATTATAAGCAACCAATCGTATTTTTATTGGAGAATTTGAATTCAAAATTTGATAGAAAGCTTTGAGTAAGAAATTTTATGAGAATTCTATTTGTTATTATGCATCATTAAACAGTATTTGCTGCAATAAAGTAATAATTTTTTCAATTTTCTGTGTGATTTATTCTCTTGAGAATTCTTTTTCTCAAAATCCCAAAAGAAGAAAATTTATGAGATGAATTTCAACAGAAAAAAATCCTATATAATAAAGTATTTACAAACATAAACATCCATTGAATTTTTTCTACTGAAATATATATTGAGAAATCATACAAAACGACTCGCATTTTGATAGTAGAAATTCAATAGAATTTATTTATGGCATTTGATTGAAAAATTTGGTACAAAACTCTCTGTAAGAAATTTGATGAGCATTCTGTTTGTTATTATGCATCATTATATACTATTTGACGCAATAAAGTCATAAATTTTTATTTTTCTGTGTGATTTATTCTCCTGAGAACTTTGTCAGTCAAAATTCTTAGGGCTGAGTCGTTTCCACTTTTTCCGTTTCTCATTACAAAATGAAAGCAAAAAATTGGAAATTCATGAGGAGAATTTTGATAAAAAATCTAGAAAGAATAAGTTTACTTTGAATATCAATAAAAATTATACAAAACCAATCGAATTTTTTACAGAAATTCAATAGAATCCATTGGGGAGGATTTTACTTTCATTAAATTTTTTCATACTTAAATGTTTACCTTCTGCGCATCGCCACAGGTAGTGGGGTACGTAGAATAGGAGTGCTTGAAAGAAGAGGACAAATGGCACCCATTGGTAATATGCGTGGTGGACGACCTCGTCTTCTGGGGTTTGTGCACCCACACCGGGATGTGGAATGTGGCCTAATTCTACTGCTGTTGCATTCATGTATTTCGACTACAATTCCGAAGAAATCATTTGGGTAAATTTTTTTATGATACCTGCCTGAAAAATGCACTTGTCGAAACGGTTTAGTGTGCGCAAAGCGGTGGTTTTCCGCACGGCGTGCGTAAAGTTTAAGAGTGTGTGTAAAGTAAATTCTTGTCCGTAAAACTTCGCTTTACCGCTCCGAACAGTAAACTCGACACGTCCCGTATGAAAAAATTTGATAGAATTCAAAATTTTTTCAATAGAATTCCAGTAGAAATCCTATAGAAATCCCATGGAATTCCTATAGAATCCAATAAAAATTTCTATAGGATCCCATAGAATTCCTATAGAATCCCACAAAAATCCCATAGGATTCCTATAGAATTTCTAATAGAATTCCTATGGAATTCCTATACAATCCCATAGAATGCCTATAGAATCGTATTGAAATCCAATAGAATTCCTATAGAATCCCATAGAAATACCATAGAATTCCTATCGAATTTCTAATAGAATTCTTATGGAATTCCAATAGAATTTTCTAGGGAATTCGCAAGGTTTTCTATTGAATTTTTTCGTACGTGGTATCACAAAAAAATATGATGTGTAACAAGTGCGTGCGAAAAAATGGAACTTTACGCACTAGTCACACAACAGCATATGTCAATACGACTGCGTAAAAGCTTTTTTACCTTCAGCGAGCGCTACACACCTCCCAAGGGTCAAAGTACACTTTTCCGACGAGTGTCGAATCCCATTTTTTATCACAGTGTGTGGAAAACGGGATTTTGCGCACGCGGAGCGTGCACACTATTTTTTTTCATTCGCTAAGTCTATTTTCCTCTGTTTTTTTTTCTCTTTTGTTGGCATTCTCAAATGAGAATTTATAAAACTCTCTTTTTGTTAATGGGAATTAACAAACGAAAAATGAATCAATTAATTAATCGATTTTCTTTAAATATCGAAATATTTCTAAAAAATCGTTTTGAAATAGAATTGATGGTTCACTTCATCGCTCGTCGTTCGAATTAAAGAGCAATTAGACGGTGAATTGTCATTATTTGAATGAGATACCACTAATGGGGAAAAATATTCATACCCGAAATTAATACTTACGACTGTGAAAGTCGATGTGAAAAAACAAAACGTATCAATCACGTGGCCCAGCGTTCTCTCGTCATTATCAAATATGCATCTGTAATAATGTCCCATCGTTAACAGCACACGATGAAAAACAAAGTTATGATCGAATGTAGGGTAATCGATTGATTCGAATACTTGCTTGATGTGATCACCTATTAATTGACGGGATGTGCACAGCAGGCAGCCAACCAAGAGGATCAAAAACGTCACTCGGTAGTGGAGCTTAAATACTAGTCAAGAATAAAAATATTAAGTTTAGGAAACAACAGGATACTTCAACTATTAAATTAACTCAATAATTATTTAAATATTCTTGTCAAATGAAATTATCAATTTTTAAAAGGAAAGTTGTGGGAAAAGAAAATGAAAAAATTCATTCGTCATCAACATAATTTAAATTTTATTCAAATATAAGTCTTTCTCACATGAATAAACAATGGAAATTGTTTAAATTTCAGAAAATTTATTTTTTTGGTTTTAAAAGAGATTTTTTGCAAAACTTCTAGAGATAAAAATTTATTGTTTAATTCTAAATTTGAATTCATTATGATATTAATTGTCTTCACGGAACAGTTCCATATTTTTTTCAATTTTTAATTGTTTTATCAATCTTCTTTACCAAGTCCTAAATTTTTATTTTATTATTGAAATATTTTCAACGATCTAAAAATGAACAATTACGTTTTTTAATAACAAAAAAAATCATTCAACCCTCATTTATATTTGGATCCAGAGGACCAATTGTATCATTCATCTCATTTTTCAAATAAACTAATCACTGAAAAAATGAGAAATAAAATTCAGAAAAAAAATGTCAACAAAAAATCGATCGAGATAAAAATTTATTGTTTAATTCTAAATTTAAATTCATTATAATATTAATTGTCTTCACGGAACAGTTCCATATTTTTTTCAATTTTTAATTGTTTTATCAATCTTCTTTACCAAGTCCTAAATTTTTATTTTATTATTGAAATATTTTCAACGATTTAAAAATGAACAATTACGTTTTTTAATAACAAAAAAAATCATTCAACCCTCATTTATATTTGGATCCAGAGGACCAATTGTATCATTCATCTCATTTTTCAAATAAACTAATCACTGAAAAAATGAGAAATAAAATTCAGAAAAAAAATGTCAACAAAAAATCGATCGAGATAAAAATTTATTGTTTAATTCTAAATTTAAATTCATTATAATATTAATTGTCTTCACGGAACAGTCCCATATTTTTTTCAATTTTTAATTGTTTTATCAATCTTCTTTACCAAGTCCTAAATTTTTATTTTATTATTGAAATATGTCCAACGATTTAAAAATGAACAATTATGTTTTTTAATAACAAAAAAAATCATTCAACCCTCATTTATATTTGGATCCAGAGGACCAATTGTATCATTCATCTCATTTTTCAAATAAACTAATCACTGAAAAAATGAGAAATAAAATCCAGAACAAAAATGTCAACAAAAAATCGATCTCTCAAAATACTTGAACGTTCGCAAATAAATAAACCATCCTCATAGACACTCAAACTCATCGCTGACCCAATCCGCGTCCACTCCCCCATCACTTCCCATTGTATGCAAATCCTCCGAAAAAAAATTTAAAAAAAACCTCACCAATATTATCGATGGCAACGGAGTCCTGCGACACTCTCAACTTGACATGGTCCTTGAGAACGGCGAAAGTCGCGAGAACAGTCGTCATCTCGTTTAAATTTTCCCCCAAAAATCCACCGAAACCAGACCAAAACCAAGGTGACTCTCAAAATCCCGTGACAAAACCGTCAAGATCTTTGCGTAAGAGCGATCGCCGCCTCACTGACACTCTCCCAGACAATTTCATGAAATCGTGGGCCTTATCTTGAGAAAAACTGACAACGGACTCTATCGCATTTCAACGAGACACGCTTACTCTTCAAATTGAATACAATGAGAGAGTACGGCTAGGGCATGGAATTGTTTTGAAATAACTGATACCCAACTACGTTGTGATAACAAGAGATAAATGTTGCTGAGTAAGAAAATCAGAGAGTCTTCAAGTGTTGTGTGATGATAAAAAAAAGTAGAAGTAATTCAATCACTCTTCTTTCATTGTAATCTACGGAGAAGTCGCGGCTAAAAATAGGATTTATATCTGCACATTTATTGTGCACTTAAGATTTTTATAGAGGAAATGTCGCAAATTTGATCAACAATTCCATTGGATTTCTGTTGAACTTTCTATCGGTTTTTGCGTCATTCTATTTAATAATTTCGCGGCGGCGCGTTTTTTTATAGAAATTTTCAATGGGAAATTTTCTGTAGAAAAATCAATGGAATTCGATGTTTATGTACAATTTATTCCATTGAAATATTTTCTATAGAAATTCCTCGGCTCAGATATTTCGATTCTTTTAGAGAAGAAAAAATTGAGATTTTATTTGTCGAGGCATTACTATAGAAAATGTCTGAATAGAAAGAGTTGTATAGAAAGATGAAATTCTACTGATTTTTTTTCTATAAAAAACAGCTTCTATTGGACGTTTTCTATTTAAAAAATTTGCAGCAAAGCTGTGGAATTCTTCAATAGAATCACCGAAAAACTAATACAATTTTTTTATCGAATTCAAATTCTAGTGAACAATTCCACGGCTTGTCTGCGCGTTTTTTTAATAAAAATGATCAATAGAAAATATTCTATAGAAAAAGAATAGAATTCGATGTTTATGTACAATTTATTCTATTGAAATATTTTTTATAGAAATTCCGGGCTCAGATATTTCAAATTTTTCAAGAAGTTCCTATAGAAAATATTTCAACAGAAACAGTGGTAAAGAAAGATGATATTCTACAGATATTTTTCTATAAAATAGTGTCTATTGGATATTTTCTGTGGAATTCTTCGATAGAATCACGCAAAAATCATAATTTTTTTTATAGAATTCTAGTTTTTTATTCAATTTTCTATGAATATTTGGCCGATTCTCTTAAATAATTCTTATCTGCCCATTTTTTTCAATAGAAGTATTTAGTGGAAAATATTCTATAGAAAATTCTATAGAATTCAATTTTTTATACAACTAATTCTATTGAAATATTTTCTATAGAAATTCCTCGGGTCAAATATTTCAAGTTTTTCGTTTCATTTTTTTAAATAAAAAGAGAAGAAAAATAGCGTGGTGAAGACTTCACACCAAAAAATTCCTATAGAAAATATCGCAATAGAAAGATGAATTTCAGTTGAATAGAAAGATGAAATTCTACTGATTCTTTTCTATAAAATCGTTTGCATTGGACATTTGTCGATAAAAAAACGCGAACTAAAGCAGTGGAATTCTTCAATAGAATAACCTAAAGATTAATAAAAACAAAAAAAAGAATTCAATAGAATTTCAGCAAGAATCCAGTAGAATTTTTTTTAGCGAATTCGCGAGGATTTCCCTGTGGAGATTTTTCTCATCATCTCTTGACGCCAACGTCTACTGGAAATGATTTGGAAGTCTCCATGTGGTTATCACACATTTTTCCACCTACATGTGACGTCTCACGTTGGGTGGGATTAGACGATACTTCGTTATCGTTCTAATTCCACTGAAAGCGGAGAGAGACGTTTACGTTTTAGACGTTGGGTATGAATTATTGGGGGGATTTTTTTGAAGGAGACTCATCATTTATCGTGCCTCACCTTGCATTTGTATACAGAGGTGGGGGCGGGGAGATAAGAGGTGATATAATGGTTGACGTTGATTTCTGGGAAGATTAGTTCTTTTGGGAATAGGATACCGATTGTGGGAATTTTTGGGCGATTTTTTAGGAGACCAAGGAATTAAAGTCGTCTGAAAGATATCTATATTTTCAATTCATAGAGCTTTTCAATTTAATTAATCATTTTTTTATTGTAATTTTTTTGTTTAAATTGTGTTTTAAAACATGAGAATTTTGTGATTAATTAAATTGTTGAATATTGCGAGAACTCCAGTTTTTTGGGAATATTCTGAATGTAAATTAATGGCAGTTTCTATTCGCACACTCGTTATCAAATAATTCGGTAATTGCCACTTTTAATTTTGTGAATCTCCCCGAAAAAATGAACTTCCAAATTTATTCTCCAATTTTTCAAATGCTGAATATTGGAAATTAACGTCAGATTTCACGAAGATGTAAAAAAATTATCATAAATGTTGAATCTAAAAAAATTATCATAAATGTTAGATGAATTCTGTATATTCTCAATCGACACATCTCAACAATAATTCTGTTTTCCAATCATGATGGTCTCTTCTATAGTTATCATACCGAGAAATAATTTTTAGATATCTCAAGGGAAATTGCCATTGTCGAACAGATAATACGCCGGGTTAAGTAGAAATCCAATCTTCTAGATTTTTTCATGAGACATTATTTTATCGTGAATATTTCATTTTTATAATCTTGATTATAGAGGAAATAACTATATCTAACTGAGGGAATTTTTCAAAAACATTTTTAAAACCATTGGCGCAAAACAGATCATTTTTTATTATACAGAATAAAATTTTCTGTTCTTTCAATTTTTCTTTTTTATATTTCAAATGAAAGTAAATTTGATATCTTCAGAATTTTATCAACTGTCCGCACCTAAATACCAATAAATAGATTCAAAGATTGATTTCTCGTTTCGTTTGTCAAATGCTTGACGAAATTCGATGATGAAATCCCCGAAGTACTAAAACGATAAATCCTTTTATCGCAATTGCTTCATTTAAAAAATCTTTATTACAGGGAGAAAATCTAAAACAGAAGAAACTTTCCTCTTTAAATCGAGAATATTTTTTCTTCAATTCAAGAACAATTCATCATCAAAAATAAAACCACATTTTTCCCGAAATTTATTTTCAAAATATTTTCAAAACCACCGGGGCAAAAGAAATCATCTTTTTTTAATGCAGATTAAAATTTCCGTTCTCTCAATTTTTCTTTTTTTCACTTCAAATGAAAATAGCTTGAATGCAATTAGATTTTTATCAACTCTCCGCACCTACATACCAATGAGTAGATTCAACAATCGATTTATCGTTCCATTTTTAGAATGATTGACGAATTTCAATTATGAAATCCCGGAAATACTGAAGCAATAAATTATTTCATCGCAATTACTTCATTTTTCCAATATTCATTACAGAGAGAAAATCTGAAATAGAAGAAACTTTCCTCTTTAAATCGAGAATTTCTTCCTTCAATTCAAGAGTAATTTATCAACAAAAATAAAACCAGATTTTTCTAATTCGAAATTAACGAATCATTTTTTTTTAATGCAGAGTAAAATTTCCGTTCTCTCAATTTTTCTTCTCTTCCCTTCCAATGAATTAACTTCAATGCAATTAGATTTCTATCAACTCTCCGCACCTACATACCAATGAGTAGATTCACCGATTGATTTATCGTTCCGTTTGTCAAATGATTGACAGAAAAAAGTCGACGATAAAATTCCAAAAACACGGGGATTACCTCATAATCATAGAGATCAACGACTCTATCAAGCCGATTTATGCTCGTGACGTACATCAAACGATTCGTCCCCCTCCCGGGAATCTTCCCATATTTTTTTAATGGATTTTCCACAAAAATTGCGAGCAACATTGAGCAACACAGCTCCGGAGTTGTCTCACAAGAAAGAAAGTATTGGTCGCCTCGTGTTGAACATTGCCTGGTAGAGCATAAGGACTTTGACCGGCCGTTGCCCCCATGGTTCGCTTATACCGGCTGTACCGACGTTCTTGTTTCGAGACGTCTTGGTTCTCCAGGCACTACATCCTTCTATGAACATACCTGACTGATCTCACGTCGCCAGAGTCTCAGGGGGAAAAAATTTTGCGCTTAGATTTGAGATATCGTGTCAAGTGGAAAAGGCGATCGCTGGGATTCCTCTTGGAGATGAGAAACAGGGGGGGACTTACGACTTTTTGCGAGCAAAGTCAATGATTTCGAGATGAATAATTTATTCAGGAACAACTGGAGAAAGTTTTTCATTTTGGAATCACGATTTTTATTTTGTCGCAAACGAAAATATTATGAATTGTTATGAATTCTTTATTTTGTTTCTTCTGGGAGAATTCATAGGAGAAATCATTCAGTTGTGAATGATGTTTTTAGAAAAAATGTCGGAATATTTTCTGAGAGAAAAATGAAATGAACAGAAACAAATCAATTTCATTAATTTATTCAGTTCGAAATAATTTTTTCTATAAAATTCTCTGTTTTATTATATAAAATAGTTCTCATTTGAAGCAAGATAGTTCAATTACTGCTATTACTTCTCCGCAGGAAAAATAATTCTTCATTGTTAAAATAATAATAATTAGTGATGAAGTGATTCATTTTTTCATTGCTTTATCTCAAATGAAAAAAAATTTTTTAAATATTGGAATAATCGTTTTTATATAATCGCAAAAAAGAAAATATTCTGAATTTCCTGATTATTCTGGCTCTTTGAAAAGAATTCATAACGAAAATAATTCAGCTGTGAATGTCAAATCACCAAAAACAAATCAATTTGAATAATTATTTTAATTCGCAATGATTTCGCCTAAAAAATTCTCGGTTTCATTACAAGAGTGAATTCTTTCTTTTAAAAATAATAATCAGTGCTGAAGTGATTGATCTTCCCAGAAAAAAATAATTCCTAAAAAACGATTACTCACGATGAAAACATGTCTGAGTCAACCGTAGACTCACAGCCTCGTTATTTTAATACCTCCGTTCACCTATGCGAACTTTATTGAAAAAAAAGCTAGAGGGAATGAAATTGGCCGGCGATGTAGAAGCGCGATCGGTCAATGGACCGAGCTGGGAATGGTCGCTCGATCGGTATTTACAGTGCACTGGAGTCT